TTGGGAGGAAAGCGATGGCAAACCTTGACAGCATCTTAAAGAGCAGAGACATCACCTTGCCAACAAAAGTCCGAATAATCAAAGCTATGGTTTTTCCTGTCGTGAAAGTGAGAGCTGGACCATAAAGCAGACCGCCGAAGAATTGATGCCTTTGAATTGTGGTGCTGGAGGAGGCTCTTAATGGTCCCCTGGACTGCAAGGAGAACAAACCTATCAATTCTAAAGGAAATCAACCCTGAGTGCTCACTGGAAGGACAGATCCTGAAGCTGAGGCTCCAGTACTTTGGCCATCTCATGAGAAGAGAAGACTCCTTGGAAAAGACCTTGATGTTAGGAAAGTGTGACGGCAAGAGGAGAAGGGGGCGACAGAGGATGAGATGGCTGGACAGTGTCTGTGAAGCAACCAACATGAAATTGACAGAACTACGGGAGGCAGTGGAAGATAGGAGGGCCTGGCGTGCTCTGGTTCATGGGGTCACGAAGAGTCGGACACGACTAAACGACGAGGATAAGGGAATTTTCTTACCTATCTGTCTCCTGCTGGTCTGGCTTTAGATCTGAGAGTTAAGCTGTGTCTCTCAAAATCTTAAATGTCTTCTTTTGTGGACTTCACATAGCTACATGAGCTCTGTAGAAGTTGCTTATATCCCAAGAAATCACCCTATTTCCATTCCACAGAGAGACGCTGTGAGCCCTATATATAGGCTAATATTTGAGAAGACAGAAACGGCTTCTCTTAAAGAGAACTGAAAATTGTTGAACAGAAAGAACTTAGTAAACAAAAAAATAATTTGCCATTGTGAGAAGTAGCTTTTCATTTCTGCAAGGTAATTTAAATCTGTCATTTATTATATTCTTATATCATTTAAAACATTACATCATAAGCTGTAATTAGACTTCCTCAGATTTTCTTGTGCTAACAGAGGAACTCACTAAAGACATTGCAACGCAACAAACAAAATAGCTGCAATGCTAGTTCTCTTTTAAACAGGATACCAACACGTAATGAATGGGTGGAGACATGCTGTGGGAATGATAATCTCTGAGTCTCTTTGGTAATATATTGAATGGTAATTTCCTTTCAGTCCCAGTAGATGTCATCTATGCTCAAATAAGCATAAGCAAAACATAATAGCTCTTCCTGTCAGGCTAGATACATTCCAAGGGGAATCTTTCATGTTCCAAAATTACAAAAAATGATGCTCAATCCACGTATCCAACAGAGCAATGTCTCTGTGTTTCTCAAATTACAGGTGTGAATTGTCTAACTAAGGGAAGATTCAGATGTCTTTGGTGTGATATGGCTTGGCAAGTGGATTTAGTGTTTACAAGTCGTTGGTTGCACAACATATCTGTTTGGATCCCACAGCTAGATTTGTTTGTCCACCTCAACATCATGGATGATGCTCACACAATTAGATTCAGGCACACAGACATTTGAAATAATTTACACTGCCCAAATAAAAATAATTGTAATAAAGAACCCTTATAGAGACTGTTCAAACCCAGAAGATAGTTTCTGTTAGAAACAGAAGGAGAAAGAATATTGATACTCACCATCAGAACCTGCTTTCTTGATCTCCCCGTCTTTGCTCTGCAAAATAAGACAAAGAAGCTCTAAATAGAGACTAGTTTTTAAGAAAGTACTCTGTAAAGTGGTCTAAATAAATAAGACCTAGTAAAGGCAACCCCATGACCTGTCAGGAGGTGGAATGAAGCAGCCATCAGGATCTTGCTGGAACAGATCGCTGTAACTATGTGACAGAGTTTCACTACTACTGTTGTGTGTTCTCTAGGAACTGTATAAATTATCATTTATTTGGACAATTCATGATCTCATTATAATTACAACAATGTCTTCTGAGGCTAGAGGTGGACTTGAAATTTAAATGGCTACACAGATCACAAAACCTGATTTTTGCCAAATGAGAAGACTGGCTATGTCAGTTTTCTTCAACCTGACACACTCCAAATGTATTTTAATACCATGTCTAGGTTAATAATAGCATGATTTATGTTGCAGTCTCAACATATTTGGAAGGCAACAGGTTGGAGAATATTGATTGATATCCACAACCAACAAGTGAGATCAAATCAAGTGACGGCAGATACTTGAAACTTGCCTTTTCTACAGCAGAGGCTCTGACTTGTTAGTATTATGAGATGCACAGACTCCCACTTTATCTGTAAAACATTTCCTCCTTTGGTTGTTGTGGGTTTTTCAGACTCTTTGGCCATGTTCTGAAGGTGGTTGTTCCTGACCAATGCAATGCACGGTGTACCAGAGGCATAATCGAAACACTGGTAGATCGTGCAAATCGGAACTGTGAAGCTCAATTTCTCAGCACCAAACTCAACCATCTGAATTGGGCACTGTCATGGATTAGGATATTGAAGCTAAAATGTAATTTCTAAATGGGATTTGTAGTCATGGAATGGTGTAGAAGGAATTCATCTTAGTCTGTGTCATTTTACTAGACGTATCAAGAAGCTGTTTTCTCTTGCAGCTAGTTAGGAATGTTATCATGTAGATAGCTTGGCCAAGGCCGAAGACGAAGAGCCGAGCCATTACATCGAGGAAGAATGTCAACAACACCTG